ACAGTGGACGGAGGGACGAGGGGGGGGGGGTGCATCCGCTCTGCATATAAACAGGGAGGAGGGGCGAAGGGAAGGTCAGCCATGGCCGACATTCTTGGCTGCCCTCACACTGACTGAGCATGAGGGGGGGGGACGAGGAGGATGGAGACAGGGAGGGAGAGACGACTGTGGAGCTCTGATCTCACAAGGTCACTCTTCGCTTTTATGTTTGTCTCCGAGTGTGCGTGAGCTCGTTAACACCATCAATTAAAATGGAAGTGAATCATTTTAATTGTCTAATTAGCTTTGGTTGCTCGTCTCGATGTGATCGTTGAGTTAAGCTGCCGAATGGAAACTGAAGTGATCTCAGGGTTTTCTGAAGAGCTGATGACCAACATTTACAAAAAACCTTGAACCTCTCAAGCCTCTGAAGACTCAAAGTCACACTCACGTGAACTGAGGATGTAAATCGTCGTGTTGTCGCCTTCTGAAGTTTCTCCGTGAAGCTGCAGCATCAGTCTGAGATATTTTTATATTCTTTAAATCTGTAGATGAGCCGATCGGTGGAGTTTACTGCATCCGGACGTCTCAGATTAGCATCAGGATCAGGGTCAAGGCCCTGGAACAGCCTGCGTGTGTTTCCAGATAAGCGACGGCTTAAAAAGTAACTTAACACCCGATCCACTCTCACATGTGAAGTCACTTTCAGGCGTCTTCTATTGATCCTGGTTCTGCTTCATATCGTCACAGTGGAAGTTTTTCTCCCTCCTCCTCAGATAAAATCCAGTCAGTCAATAATTGCTCACTTCAGTTCACCTGGTGCAGCAATCAACCGTCTGTGGTGTGGACGTTACGAAGTCCCTGCTTTCATTTCGTCAGGTAGGAACGACGCTTCGGGTGACGGACGCAGAGTTTCCATTAAAGTGCAGATGTTAATTCAATTTACAGAAGAAAAAAAAATTCAAATGAATGGAACTTTCCATTCACTCCTGTCACGTGACGCAGCCTGGAGCCGCTTCTCTTGGATCAACAGCAGCAGAACAGCCAATCAGACGACAGCGCGCGTCGTGATCTCCGTCGCACTTTGTCACATTTTGTTTTTAGTGAATCACAAACATTTCTGCCTCAGTCACGCCTAAAAACTGAAAACATCGTGTACGTGCAGATATTTGAATTGATGCATTCATACACAATGAGGTCACATATGTAACTTGAATGGTCACGTGCATGGATAGATATTGATGCAGAGAGATAATCAAGTAGAAAAGTCTCTGCCAAACACACACACACACACACACACACACACACACACACACACGTACACTGCAAAGTGCACAAACACAAAGATGCAAAGCAGAGGGATAAGTGTGTACGAGCTAACTCATTAGAGAAAACACACTTGTGTGCAGAAACCCACAGACATTGTCACAAAAGTGCACTTGTATATGAGAGATGCACTTGTGAACACACACACACTCTCTCTCTCTCTCTCTCTCTCTCTCTCCCCCATCGGTCGGTAATTACGGTCTCTGGCAGAAAAACACCAGCCATACATAGTCAATGAGAGCAGAGAACACAATGAACACACAGAGCAGATGATTACTGTAAATAAAAGAGTGAAGCGAGTGAAGAGAAGAACGAAGGAAGACATGATGCCTCTGGCTCAGAGTGAAATGGGGGCTGGAAGGAACGAGGGCAGAACTGAAGAGGAGAGAGAGAGAGAGAGAGAGAGACGGAGGAAGGGAAGAACAGAGAATTTCCACTTCTGTGTCAGTTTGAAATATTTAATCAGTAAACGTCTTCCAACTGTTTCCACACATGAGCGCAGCCGTTTGGCAGAGGAGGAACTTTTCGTTTGGACAGAGAGTCTGTGGTTGTTCCATCAGGTGAGGACAGAGCAGGGGGGGGGGACGGCTCGAATAAAAAGAGTTGACAGCCGCAATAATTCCACGATGACCTTCAAACACTTTACTGGGATCTTCTGTGTCTGGACCGTCTGGGTTTAAACACCGCGCTTCATCCGCTTGTCTCTTGAATACTTAGAAGCTGACGTCACATGCATACTGTACGTCTGGAATCCTCCCACCGCTTCTAGAGCTCCAACTATTGTCAACATCTTAAATCATCGGCCGACATGACGCGTAGATTCACTGAAGCGTTGAACTGGGTCATGTGTTGGCTTGTTTTGGTTTCCAGGATTAAGTCTGAACTCTGATGCTTGAACCCGACATGTTCTTGGCTCCCGTGGAGCGGCCGAGCGAGCCGTGAACACAGTTGTCACCTGACGATGCTGGTTTGGTGAACCTGTTAACAAACACTCACCTATTTACTATTGACGCTCTCACACGCAACAGATTCCGAGTGACAGGCGAAAGTTCTGTCGTGAGAGAGAATCTCAGATCTGAGCTGAAACTAAAATGTTTCATTGCTACTTTAAAAGCAAAGTCTCATGTGAACAGTGCGGGAAATAAAATCAGATACTCTCTGACTACATCTGCTGTGACACTGGTGAAAGGTCCAGAACAGGCTTCAGTGGAAGTTTGACTCAAAGTTCAGAGACTGTGTCAACACCGATCCCGAGGACATCTTTAGTTTCAGAGCTCTAAACCATGTGGGAAACAAGTGAAGCACAACTCAAATGTTAAATGATAATCTGATCCGAGAACAGACGTCTCAGACTTTCACTGTTCTAGTAGTCGTAGTAAAACTAAGACGATGCTCAGACGATAAATCTTTTTCCTCCGGTTCCATCGGGATGTTTTTATTTTTGGTTGATTTCTGTAGAACTCACGTTCGTGTTCCTAAAGTCGGAGTTCTCCCTCAGGTCAGATTCTCCACTCCTCAGATCAAACATCACATGTTTGTCTGCAGGTATTTACATGTTCGATTCCGTGCACCGCGTGACCCAGGGCAGGTTAGACGATCAGGCTGGAACTTCACGGCACTCGTTAACTTCTTGCACTGATACAATCATCTAAGCCCAGAACATCCTAATTGTTTTTTCCCCGGCTTGACTCGCTAAGTCCTGCCTCCAGCCCGGCGCAGCCCGCTGATCTGTCAGATCTTGGCCTCGGATATCGTGCAGCGGTGGACGTGCTGCTTCGTTACTTAGCTCAGCCCGGGACACACATCAGCTATATGGACTGTATGCAGTGCTCTCGTTCCAAGGCCACCCATATTTAATCTGCACTCCCTGAACTGTGAGGTAGTCAAATGTCAGCTGCGACATGCTAACCTCCAGATAGTGGCCCGGTCTCTGGGCTCGTGTTTACTTTAGGAGACGCAGAGCAAACTTCACTCGAGTCCTCATTTGAAATGTTTTGTCTTTTTTTTTTTGTGTCTTTGAGGCAAAAGAAGTCTCGTTTGTTGGAAAATATCAACGACCGCTCTTGTGTTGAACACGTTCGTGCTGAGTTATGGATTCAAAGAGTCCAACGGTGTGTCGTGGTGCTTATGGTGAAATAGTGAGCGATAGAGTGGGAGAGAGTAGAGAGAGGGGGAGAGAGGGAGAGAGAGACAGAGAGAGAGGGAGAGAGAGCGAGAGAGAGCTCTGGAGGAGCAGGGTTGAAACCAACAGTCATCTTTGATCACGCTGTGTTTTCTCTCCATCTAATCAGCTTGGACGTCGTCCAAACCCTCCCGACTCGGAGACAGAGTACAGCGTGTGTGTGTGTGCGTGTGTGTGTGTGTGTGTGCGTGTGTGTGTGTGTGTGTGTGTGCATGTGCGTGTGTGTGCGAGATACTTTTATATAATCTCTTCAGTGCTGAGTCCTGTTTCCACACAGACTGGTACAGTATGTCCGAGCGTATGTACTGATCTGTCTGTAGTTGACTGACAGTGCATTGATCTGTGTGTCGTCACTGAGCTCCTCAGCTCCTCCTTCACCTCCCTCAAAGTATTTTTGTTCCGTTTCATGCCCTCGTAAAAGTTTTGCAGATCGAGAAGTTAAACATGAAGGAAAACTAAATGGAGATCGTGTCGCGGGTTTAATTTGAAACCTGCACCTGTCGCTCTCGTCACACGTCGACATCTTTATTTCAGATCTTCTGTTTGTCTGAAGAAAAGGTGCATCCTCCCGTTTACAGTTATCAGCTTTAACTCACAGAATATTTAGCAAACTGAAGTTACTCTTGTTATTTCAATCAGCAAAAACTTTATCTCCAGACAGAAAAAACCTCCACAGGCCAGAAGTGTCCTGGAATATAACTTCAGTTTATATTCTCATTGTTCTAAAGTGTATTGTCTCATTTATTTGTAATATTTGTGTAGAAATCACATCCCAGATCCCCTGTTTTCTTTTCCCTGTGTGTACTTGTGTGTACTTGTGTGTACTTGTGTGTGGCTCCAGTGTCAACGGGCTGTTATTGGTTGAGAAGTGTGTCACAAGGGTTCGAGGTCTGATCTCTCACACTCTGGTGCCATCTAGTGTCGGGACTGGAGAAGTGGAGCTCGGCTCTGTTTCCATCAGGGTCAAGCTCAGGCTGCAGGCGCATCGCAACATAAACAGTTTTAAAACTAATCAGTCAAAATAAACCATCGAAGTCATTCATCCAGAGAAAACGTGAGATATTAAACATATTCACATCGGCGGCTCAATCGCAAAACAATTTTATTCTAATAAATAAGATATATGATAAATCAATCAGTCTATGAAATGTCCGAATATTCCTCCGAGGTTGAAACGTCTTATTTCATTCGAACTCAGATTCTTGTTTTCACTTCATCGACATTAAAAAGCAACAAATCTTCGTGACGTGTTTTTATTTTTGATTGAGACGATTATATTTAAATGATCACTGTCATTTATACCTTTACTTTTCTACTGATTGACAGTTCAATCGACTAATCCGCCCTCGTGCAAAAACTGTGTTGACTTGGCCGAATACTGCGGAGCATCATCTGGAACATTTTACAATCGTCTGCTTTTACAAAGAAATGTCAGATTTTAATGGATAAATGTTATTGACACTGTGTGTGTGTGTGTGTGTGTGTGTGTGTGTGTCTTCTCTCTCCCCTCCAGCTTTGTATTGCTTCCTCTGACGTCCCGCCCACCATGCTCCCCCTAGATTCTCACGTGTCCATTGAAGGCGCCGGCGGCGAATGCTGAGCAGGCTGGCCGAGTTGGGGTCCGCCTCATTGTCCTGTGATTGGCCGCTGGACGGTACTGAGGCAGAATGGAGCCAATGTCCAACAAGCAGGATAGCAACTCGTCAGAGGGGGACGAGAAAGGGTGAGACGGGGGGGGGGGTTTGTTTGTGGGCCGAATGGAATGTGATGGATTGTCCTGCCCCTCTCTCTCTCTGTCTGTCTGTCTCTCTGTCTCTCTCTCTCTCTCTGTCTGTCTGTCTGTCTCTCTCTCTCTCTCTGTCTGTCTCTCTGTGTGTGTGTGTGTGTGTGTGTTTTCATCAAAGCACAGACGAGCGCTGCTTTGACAGAAGTGACAGATGAGAAAGTAGCCGCAGGCTTTGATGGACAGACGGATAGAAGAAAGATGGAGAGATGCACATGGTTGAACATTCTTTTCTTTTCTTTCTCACATTCCAAACACGAGCTCGTTTCACGAGTGTGCGGACGAATGTCGATGCTTCAGCGATAGAGACGAGCGGAGAACGAGAAGAGGAGTGTTTCTGCCGGATAAGCTTCATATAAATAAATCAATGGAGGGATGTTAGATGGATGGAGCGATGGGGGAGGAGTAGACAGGGGGGGGGGGGGGTGTATTTTTTGGGAGAGGTAAAAGGGAGTTAGGACATTCTGTCACGCTGCCATCTGTGCCGCACGTGGAGTCACACACACACACACACACACACACACACATAAACTAACATTCTGAGTTCTGAAGTGATGAAGTTTAATCCCCACAGTCGTCGTCGTTGTTGCTGACGACGTTGCAGCGTTGCAGTAAATGCTGATTTCCAGGAGATGGTGTCAAAGAATTCAGAACGTGATCGTTGCTGTTGTTGCTTTTCCACGTTTGTGAACACACGTCGGGTTGTTGAGTGGTTGTGAGTGTCGCTGCTCAGGCCGCAATCGTGTTGTGTTGAAAAAAAAAAAAAAAAAGAAGCCACTTCTCTTCGGTGAGTCGGAACAAATGTCAAATATTCAGAGATTGAAACTTTTGCTGTCGTCGGGCCGGAGCTTGAGCCGACGTGCACAGTCATGCATCATAACGCACCGTCATGTATTGATGTGAATGACCTTCAGATTCACCATCACGCTGCTGTCGTGTGCGATGTTACACAACACAACACAACACAACACAAGTAGCATCTACCTGTGGAGATAATTGAGCTTTGACAGAAGCCCATTCTCTCTGAGTGTGTGTGATGTGTGTGAGCAGATCTGTGTGTACTATTTAACATGTATATAAACGTGTGTGTGTGTGTGTGTGTGTGTGTGTGTGTGTGTGTGTGTGTGTGTGTGTGTGTGTGTGTGTGTGGATTAGTGCACAGAGCTGGATTAGGAGCAGTGAGGGCAGATGGAGCCGCAGAAAGCAGAGGACAGCTCAGGACGCCTCAATATGTGACATCAACAGGGGATTGTCGCTTTGTGTTTGTGCGCATGTGCGTGTGTGTTTCTCACACAGTGTGTCATTGACCACGCACGTGTTCTTGTGAGCGCTGCCTCATGCCCTGACCCCTCCCCTTTATGATTTCTGAGTCACAGAGCATTCTGGGTAAACACACACACACACACACACACGCTCGCAGTGATGTTGCAAAGCTTCGAGTAGCCTGGAGAAGGTGAAACTAAAATAGAAACTGGCGTCTGCGTGCGTGCTCGTGTGTGTGTGTGTGTGTGTGTGTGTGTGTGTGTGTGTGTGTTTCCTTATTTACCAAAAACAAACACAGAGACTCTCGTGACCATGATGTTACGGTTCAGGTGTGTTATCCGTTGCTCCGAGCAGCTGAACACTTCCTGTTCCAGATCATCGTAGAACGTCTACACGGGGAGAATTGCACGTCTGTCTGATAATGAACGTAAACCCGTCAACGAGAAGATCACGTTCAAAGAAACTGCCGAAGTGGCTGAAGTCGGGCTTCAACCCTCCTCCGCTCGTTTGTAAAAGCTGCTGCTGCCTCTCGGTGAAGCCTCGTCCCCGGGCGACCTCCCTGCGCTCGTACACTGAGTTTATAAGCTGCAGCAGCACAACATCAGCTGCTTATTCATTCACAAGCCTCTCAGCCATTGTGATGTGCTCATGAGAGACGGTGACGGAGCGGTATCTTCAGCCGCGTGAGAATCGAACCGCGTTGAACGGTTTCCCCGATGTTTGTCAGACGACAGTTCAGCAGCGAGAGTCGTCACAGGCCGAGTCGTGGGTTTTCAAAGTTATTTAAAAACTTGGTGCCGATTTAGTTTGAATCTTTCCTGGAAAAATTAAGTTTGAGTCACTTGACTTTTCTCGGTGAATGTTTGAATGGTTGCGTCCTCGAGGATTCTGGCGGTGCAGCTTCCCCTTTGTGTGTCCGTGTCACTTTGTTCCGCAGCCGCGCAAACTGACTCGTCTGATTAATCCTGTTAATGTTTCCAAACTCGACTGTCTGAACAGAATCACGCTGTCTAATCGGATCTCATACAGTCGCTCCGGATAATCTATCAGCTACCTGTGGTGTCTACTGACGCTCGAGTCACATTCTGGAAAATCGAAATGAAATCCTTGTTACAGGAGGTGTAACCATACACTTCATTATAACTAACTTTAATTAAAGTTTAATTAAAGTTTAGTTAATTAAAATTAACTTTAAGAAAACATCTTTCTATCAAACACCAACCGATCAGCTCATGTGATCTGGTTCTGTTGTTCTGCTCGTCCACGTTCTCCTCCACCCTCGGTCAGACCGAGCAGGCGTGTCCTTCATCGCGGTACAGAGAGCGTTTCAGTGGCTCGGTGCGTAGAGGAGGTTTCCAGAACCTGTCGTGGGATCGACACCGAAGAGCCGAGGTCACAGCTGCGGATCTGTGATCCGAGGCAGGAAGTCGGGCTCCGGCCAACAGGACACCAGGATTTGTTCCGGCTGCAGTTTCCTCCACTTTCCTCTGCTGATGTCATGAGCAGCGGTTTTTATTTTCGAACTTTGGAGAAGGTTCCCCAGATGTTGCTTCATACAGCTGTTAGTCCGCGTGACGGGTTTCCCACATGTTGCATCGCGGGTCCAAAAGTCTGAGACCATTCTCCCACTCGATGTGAATCTGCTCAAATTCCTGCTCGATACTTAATCATGTATAATAACAAACATGTAACATAATACTTTGTAACATTAATATAACATAATACTATGTAACATAAATATAACATAATACTTTGTAACATAAATATAACATAATACTATGTAACATTAATATAACATAATACTATGTAACATTAATATAACATAATACTATGTAACATWAATATAACATAATACTTTGTAACATTAATATAACATAATACTATGTAACATTAATATAACATAATACTTTGTAACATTAATATAACATAATACTATGTAACATTAATATAACAAAATACTATGTAACATTAATATAACATAATACTATGAAACGTAAATATAACATCATACTAGTTCAATTAAATAAACCAACGTAAAAGTAAAAATACCACATTAAGTTTTCTACTTGAGTGAAAGTGAAGAAGTACTCTGAAATGATATAAAAATAATGCTTTGTAAAAATGTCATGGAGTAGAAAGTACTCATCACACTAGTACTGGTTGTATAAAAACATTTTGATCCATTTAACCTTCAGGAAATAACTCTCTGGACCCCAGCACAGTGACATAACACTCTGTGTGTGTGTACTTTTATATTAGTGAGCAGCGTAAACAGAGTGGGCACATCCTCACTTTTTCCAAAGGCTCGTTTGAGGATTTGGTTTTAAGGTTAGAATCAGGTTTAGTTCAGGGTCAGGGATTAGGGAATCAATTATTCCAATGAGTGTCGTCACGGAGACAGAAGTACACATACGTGCCTGAGTCCCCTCTTCAATGATCACAGAGGTCAGACGCCCGATGACCAATCGTTTCCTGCGCTGGAGACGCTGACACTCGTGACGGCTTTTACAGGATCTGCTGAGTCACTCCTGACGTGAAAATCTACAAGTAAAAGCTGCACGTCGGCTCCCTCTTCACTCGCCCGACACACAGCAGACGTGGTGCCGTTTACCTCGGGGTGTTTCTAAAAGTGTCGGTGCTCGCTTGAGCTCTGACAAAAAGGTGACACCGTCAGTAAAGTGGAAGAGACGTGAGCAGAAGTGACGGGAGGAGAGGGAACTGAACAGAGAACAAGGTCGAGATGAAGACGAGGTTTAACATCAGTCGGTGGAAGCGACACCTTCGTTGACTTAACCCACAGGAAACACGAATCCTTCAGGAGGATTTAGGATTTCTTTTCTCATATATACGATATTTATGATACATATTTATTAAAATTGCATTCTGACTGATCTATAAACCAAAGTAGAGAAGAGCAATGAGCAGATAAGACGTTAGCGCTCTCACATGAAGCCCCTCTGGAGAATGTCAGGAGATGATCTGAAGATCACAGCAGCTCTTTTCTCCAACCATCTTCACCCATCGTCTATTTCCCCGACACTAACTCCATCACTTCAACAGGAGGCTTCGCTCAGAGCGCCTCCTGATCTATATTTAGCTGCTGTCAGTGAAACCCAATATTTCCTGCTGAGGTATTTCCCGTTACTTAAAGTTTTTTAAACCGACACTGTAGCTTGACGCTCACAAAGAAGAAGCGACTGCGAATGGTTCCTCTGTTCTTCTCGTCTCGATGTTTTCCATTACTCTGCCTCCTCCAGCGATCGTGCAGTTACTGGAGTCATTTTACTTTTGAAGCTTAAAAAGCTGCGGAGCCCGACAGTTTCCTTTCAGGTGGTTTTGTATCCAGCTGTAACTGCGGCCTTCACAACAAGTGGTTATTATTACACTCGGAGCAAAGAGAGATCACAGACGAGTCTAATTCAATTGATGAGCTCCCTCGAATCTCTGTGTCCTCAGAAGACTCCTCTCAGCTGCACTGACGAGGCCGCGTCAGGCCGCCGTTATGTAATCAAGTCAGCATTAGAGCTTAAGTGAGTTTGGATGCAGAGCGGCAACGTGTTTCTGTCTGTTGTTGTTTGGTTTTCTCCTGTGGGACAAAACAAAAGAGAGGGAGACAGAAGAAAGGTGGAGGCGCAGAGGGACGCGTGGCAGGACGTCAAAGAATGAAGGTATCAGCAGAGGTGACGGAGGGAGACGAGAGGAGCGAGAGAGTTCAGGAGATGAAAGACGAAGCAAACATAGTGAGAGAGCGAGTGTGGTTGAACGAGGTGGACGAGATGAGGAGCTGTAGTGTGATGACGGAGAGCATGCCCCCGTGGTAGACTACACACAGACAGGGAGGGAGACGGGGGAGGCTGGACCTGAGGGAGAGAAAGAGGGAGGGAGGGAGGGAGGAGGAGGATGATAAACAGGGAGCTGTTCCTCCCAGCAGCCAGTCTGAGAGTTTCCTCTGACAGCTCAGCTGATAGACTTCACTCAGACTGACCTGAGCAGGGAGCTGTGGCGCTGCCGGGGACTGAAGCCGCTCCTCTCAGAGGCTCCCAGAGAAACTAACGCCCCGTCGGCCACAATCCTCCGCAGCTGAAGTGGAACTATTGTTGCCACATTGAGGATTTCACGTGAACTAGGTGGGACACATGCACTGACTCAGCTGCTGCCGCTGCCTGACGCGTCTTTTCTTCTGGATTTTCCTGCAAAGGCAGCATCATGCATATCTTACAGCCGTACTGCATCAACAGGTTGGTGTGTGTGTGTGTGCGTGTGCGTGTGCGTCTGTTTCTGTTCACATGCATTGACGGTGGGTGTGTGCCGTGAGTCCAGGCACCACATGTTCACATCAGGGGAGGGGAGGCTGGTTCCCTGTCATCAGATGTATTTATATGTTTCCTGTTCAGAACCGTTAATCAGAGATTATCACATTATCTTTCATCCAATAAAATATCGGGACTTATTTGATAAAACAAATAATCCAGTTATTCACATGATTCTTTGTATGAAGCTAATTTGTTGTGTCTTTTCTCTGCTAACGTCATTAAGAGGGAAAGTCCCTGGAAGTATCTGCTCACTGATGATAAACCAACTGTAACAATGGACGTTTTCCAAGTGTTTGTTAGAGCCCGACCCAGCGAGGGGCTGATACCGATATTATCTTCTCGAGAAAGAAATGTAGTTAAAGTTGATATTAAACAATTTAACCATAAACTTTAAAGATATTCTTCGTAAAATATAAAAACATAAATACACATCATTCCTCTGTGAAATACAAGTTTTCATTTCGGCACTAATCAGAAAATATAAACACAGATACGTCACCATGTTTGGAGAAGAAGTCCGAAATGTGAAAGCTGATATCGGCGATAATATCGTCAAACAGATAAATTGATCAGGTCGTGTTTGTTCAGGTTGAAGTTTGATTGGCTGGTTCAACATCTCCAGACCTGTGCATGAATAAATGTGTGAGAAACATGTGCACTGAACGTGAGTGTCTGTCCGTTCACGAGACATCGACTCATTATGCTCACGTTGCTTGATGAGCTCGCTGCGGCTGATCAACTCTGACAAAGATAACTCGAGACGTTATTCCACCGAGTTGTGTCGAGAAAAAACTGCTTCTGTCAACATCGGCGTGAAATCGAGGAGCCGATGATCAGGATTCTTGTGTACGTGACAAACTCGACTTCACAGGGATGAAAAAGATGCCGATGGAATGAGCTGCATGTTTGAAAGCTTGAAAAACTGACGTTGTGTTTCCAGGTTGTTCTGGTGTCGACAGTTTTCATCGTCTCTCATCGAAAGAATCATTTCATTCGATGTGTTTGTGTTAATGAACGACTTTAACCTGTGATGTGATGATGTAGAAGCTCCACAAATCATCATCGACACGAGAACCTTCAAATCCTTTCTGGAAGCTCGGGTTTGTTTTTAGCTGCAGTTGTGTTCGAGCATGTTTGTGTCTGTTAGAAGCTCAACACACGCGGCTCTCAGACCAGCGGAGACGGTTTCCCGCCGTGTTGCTGTCTGACCACACCGCAATAAAATTAATACGTTAGCTCAAGCGTGAAGAGCTGCAAGAACCCAGAGACATGTCAGAGGATTTTCCCCCCCCGTTTTTTTAGTTGGAAGAGGAAAGTAGATTTGACAGCCAGCGAGACGGAGGGGAGGGGAGGGGTGTTACCTAATACTGCTGATGGAAGTTTAGAGAGGAGAGGAAGAGGGGAGGAAGAGGGGAGGGGAGGGGAGAGAATGAGGAGAGGAGGGGAGAGAAGAGGAGAGGAAGAGGATGGGGGAGAGGAGAGGAAGAGGGGAGGGGAGAGAGGAGAGGAGGTGGGGAGATGAGAGGAAGAGAGACAAGAGAGGAGAGGAAGAGGGTAGGAAAGGAAGGGAGTGGAAGAGGAGAGGAGAGGAAGAGGGTAGGAGAGGAAGGGGAGACAAGAGAGGAAGTGGGAGATTAGACAAAGGAAATAGGAAACGAGAGGAAAGACAAGAAGAGAGGAAGAAACAGAAGAGAAGAGACGAGAGAGGAAGAGGTGAAGACAGATGAAGAGATGGAGAGAGAGAGAGGAGAGGAGAGGAGAGATGAAACAGACAGACATGGGGGAGATATTTAATCCAAATCTGCTGCCAGAGTGAGAAAAGAGGAAGGATAGAGAATCAAACGGAGGGATGGAGGTGTGTGAGAGACGAGGGACGGAATTATATATAATCTAGTGTGTGTGTGTGTGTGTGTGTGTGTGTGTGTGTGTGTGTGTGT